AATTGTAAAGGTATGCTAAATGTGTAAATTTGTTTGAACGTCTAAATTTCTTAAGAAAAAAGTCAGCGTATAATCGAAACCGCATTGCTCGAGGAAGCACTGTAAGCACTGTTAGTTGTGATCCTTTTATTGTACGAATCCTAAAACAGAATGCCGCATGCGACACTGGCTTTTGGTCCTTTAACTTCCGACCTCGTTACGTTTCTCCACCCGAGAGCCAGACTAACAACAATAATAACAATAATGATAATAAATAATAAACTTTTCAACGAGTAACAGAAAGTTAGTCGTTTCCAGAAAATTATTTTTCCGAAACTCATGAAGTTAAGTAAGATGTAATTGAATTTAAAATGCAATATAAAAAGAGTCCTCCAGAATTCTTATAAAATAAGGAAGGAGCAGTAAGATCAAGTGTATAACTCAATTTAAAACAAAATGGACTCCTGTCAGTCCGGCTGCCAGGTACAGATTTGTTCCAGCAACTTCACCGATCCTTGATCTTGATCCGATTTCATTTCCACGCGAATTCTTACCATTCGCGCGATAAAGACCGGCGAAAGGGAATTTTTCTTTCTCAGATAGAAACTAACTACCCGAGGAGGCTGAAAATCTCGCGAGGCGTAAAAATAATTACCAACCACTTTATTCTCATTGGTTGGTCGCGTTCCCTTCCTTTCCGTAGTAGGAAAAAGGCCGAAAGAAGATCCGGTAGAGTAACGAGCCGCGCCCCGGGCTACCACGGCCGACTCGGGACAAACTCTTGCTAAGGAAGCGGCGTTTTATTATTGCGAAAAGTTATTTCAAGGTTCGTCATACTTTCCGGGTTTCGTGGCGGGATAAAACGATTCCGAGAGAGAACGAAGTTTCCTTTACCCTCCGCAACCGTCCAACCCTCATCTCCGCCTATAATTCTCGGCCAGCTGAGAGAGAAAGAGAGAGAAGTTTTCAGATTGACGGAGCACCTGGCAGCTACCGGGAAGTTTATTTTAAAATAATACGCTTTCCGATCGGCCAGCTCGTCGAAAGTTTCGTCGAATCGGGTCGTCGAATATGAAATTAGCGCGATAATGGGAAGTGGCCAGCGGGAATGGATTTCGAACGAGAAAGTTCCGTAGGGTCGAGGACCCTATAGTTTTTCGCCGCCAACCTCGATGTTCGACATCCTCAACTTTCCCTCACCCCGATGCCCTTATAATTAAGTCACTCGAACAAGTGAATGCTGTGTGTGAGTTTAGTAGCTGTATAAATAACCGATCTCCGTCCTGTTTTATCTCAAACTTCATTGTCTGTTACTCGAGTTTAGTTCGTAATAAGTCCGAATCATTTTCCCCGATATACGAAACTTCGCGGAAAAATTCGAATTCACTGCACCGACCCTTTATATAGCAAAACGAATAGCAAGGAATACTCATTCTTGCAGCCAATATTTCGCTCGTTACCAGTCGCTGGAACAAAACGTTCGACCCTATAAAACGTAGAAAATTTCCTGCGGTTTGGCTTCCTCGTACGTACATATATTCGATTCCGCCATTGGACCAACCCGTTACACCGTAACTGGTTTCTTACTTCTAGCTCGGGGGGACGAGAGTGAAAGAGAACAAGAAGGAAATAATATATTTCAGAGGGATCCGGAAGAGAAGGTTTTGCCGTTTTTACAACGGGGCTTCCGGGAAAGTGAAACGAACTCCTTTACAGTTTCAATTTCGCTAATCCCCGTAAACGACCTTTTTTCACGCTGAACTCCGCGCGAATGAAAATCATTCTTCACCGTAGATTTACCCTTTCCGTGAGCAATTCACTCAGCGGATCGCAACATGGAACGAGAACCGTTCCCCCCTCCTGTTTTCTACTTAAATCCCGTTATCCACTGCTTCGCGGATAAAGAATTATAACAAATCGCCGAGGATGCAAAACGAAAGTCGCGATTCCTCTTAAACTCGAGCAAACGAGTGGGGGAATAGAGGGGATGGATAGTCCAATTTATCATCCAGATAAAGGAATCACAATGGTTCTTCCGAGTCGGAGCGAGTTCGATAGCAGTGAAACCTAGAAAACTCGGCGGCGACGAAGCGAGGCAATAAGATAAGATTTCCAAAAGTTGTACGTTTCCCTAGGACGCCCGTATGAAAAGAAATAGCCAGCAGCGGAATCGCACGCGAAGACGCGCGAGACCGCACACTGTCGCGACCAAAAAAAAAAAAAAAAAAAAAAAAACACAATTTCCCTCGCCCCCTGATTTGCGCAGAAATAAGTTACCATTTCTTTTGCCACGTGAAAGTTACGCTTTCGCACCTTTGTCTCTTTTTTTTTTCTCTCTCTCAGTCTCTGTTTGCCAAGAGTTCCAGCAATGGCAAATACGAATTTCTGTCGCGTGTAACAGCGAGGTAGCTGGAGCTGAATCGAATGCATCAATGGTTGAATTTTAACAGAAAAGTCGAGTACTGGGGATAAACGCTATAGAGATCTGTTGATTGCAGATCAATTTTCAATTTACCGTCGCGTGTTTTGCAGGAGTATCGTGCAATTCGAACATATTTGCCGTGCGCAGTTTTCATTCGGATTTGAAAAAAAAAGTACATCCGGCCGATTCTCTAATTACCATGAAAATCTTATTTACCAGCGATTTTTGTACCCCATTTCACCAATATCGTAATTGCGTTTCCGCTCTGTGTGGCCTCGCGTTCCATCATGATTTTACAGATGAAAAATGATATATAGCTTTTCCTTTTTTCTCCTCTTTTCCTGAAAATGATTCCATTATTTGTCGTGTGAATTTCACCGGCATTGTTTCGAATCAGTTAGCGTGGCGCGCGCGTAAAAGTAACGGCATGCATAAAATGCAACGGATTTTACGAGGGCTATTAGCATAAACTTTATTGCCTGCATCGTAGTACTCACGACATTGTATTGTATCATAGCTAGTATTGTATCATACTCGTACGAGCTCGCGAAGTGACCCCGAATGATAAGCGGCCAACTTTCCGGAAATGGATCCGCGTCAATCGTTACGACGCCTCAGCGAGATAACGGCTCGTAATTAACAGTCAACTCCAGCAGATATATAATATTTCCCTCTAATTGTAATTAAAAGCCCTCCGGTTAAAACGAGTTCTATCGAACGATGGATTTAATCGAACCGTGAACAGCGTACCCGCAGATCGATCGAAGTAACGAAACGCGTTGCATGGATCCAAGTGATCCGTCACTGGCTCGCCGTTCTGACCAGCTTCGCAATAAAACGTATCACTCTTCCGGTCAAGAATTAAGGCAACGAATGCAATTCCATCTATCGGTTGTTTTAAAAGAAAATTGCGACGCGCGGAATGTAACTTCAGAGACGTAAATACTTGAAAAGTAGCCTTGGCCGAAAGTATTAGACACGCTACGAAACGTGAATTGTTTAAAAATATTTCTGTATTAGGAGGAAATGTAGATCGTCTTTTATTAATTTATTCGATATTTCGTTTAGTCACCTTTTACGTACATTTGACAATCGCAGCAATTTCTTTCTCACTTTTACTCTGTTTAAAAAAAAAAAAAAAGAAAGCCGCTTTTAGTTCGTTCTTTCTTGGCATATTTCAAGAACTTTCTAACTTTCAAAATATCAACAGCAAAACTAAGGACAAACTGACGCGTGTTAGCAGCGAGTAACTAACTGCAGGCTGTAACTTTTCGAAAGTAACACAAAATGTTGGCTATAGATCGTTCAGTTGTATATAAACCTGGTCAACTGTTTTAAAATCCCCTTGAACTAGCCGACAAAGCATGACGAAGAATAGAAAGGTTCCAGAAAAATAGTTGTAGCAACAAAAGTGCCGAATATTTTTTACCAATGCTGTACAAACTTTACGTACAAGTTTGTACAACTATTTTCCGTACGTAGTACCAACACTGTTACAGTTTCAGCTTGACGATAATTGAAAGATATAAAAACTGAACGGGGGTGAGTTCATTGGAGAAAACTTGCTACTCTCGGTAGAGATCATCTGCACCTAGAATCCGCACAGTTTAATTTCACCCATTTTCCACGCATTAATACCCGACGCATTAGCATTAACTGAAAGTTGCGCACTTCCGCTCAACCCGGTCCGCCTAGTTCCCTGCAGTTAAACCAGCGGGAACATCTTCAAACAAATCCCAATTGCCAAGGATTTTCAGAGAAGAAACGAGAAACACTAACGGGATAACGGTGTGTTATTCACCCACTCGTAACGATCAGACGAATAAAACCGGGGGAAAAAGAACAACGATCCGGTTATTACGTCCCGGACGATCTTCAACCGTTCACCGGAAGTTCCGCGGTCCGAGGCGAGCGTTCAATTTACCGGGGGCGAACTTGAACCGCGAACAAAGTCCCTTCTCGTAAGCGCTCGTGTGTGGAGCCTCGAACGAAATTGTCGAAGTTGTTCGTCCAGAACGACAATCGCGTAAACGAGGTGTGAATCGCGATGGGGGGTTAGAAATCGTCATAAGCGCCGCGATTGGATAAGAATGTTCACGTTTCGTCTTTCCAGCGGATTCACGCACGGCGGAAGGTGTATGTCCGGAGGTGCACCACGTCGCGTAATTAGTTTACGAGATCGATATTAAACGAAGGACTGGTGTGCATGTGTGTGTGTGTATGTCGCGTTCACACGCCGGAAGAGAAAAAAGTCTTTCTTTCTCTCTGTATGTCCGCGTGTACAGCGTGTATCATTCACGAGGCAGGGCCACAGACGGCAGTCTTATGAATAATGCATACTATAAATTCGCGTCGCACGCACGCATGCACGCCGGTAATTCCATTAGCTGTACCATTTTGCCGCTCGATAGCTGCCTACGTTCTCGATCGAATAACTTCTGCTTGTCCGTTAGATCCTTTGGATTCAGCTTTCGATTCAACTCCCGTTGACTTAATCCTACCGTAATCTTGCCGCTTGTTCGGGAAGATTTTCAAAGAGGAGACCACCATAGTCATCGTCCTTGTACAGCAGAATCGGTCAGACATGATTGATAATTACCTTCCGTACACATGAAGAGTATGGCAGCAATGGAGAGCCTCGCCTGCCACCTCAGAGCCATGTCCGCAACTGTTTGATGGCGCGTTCAATTTGGTACTGAAGCGATTTACATCCTCTTCACTGGATGACAGCGCACCGTCCACCCACTGACATAGCAACACCGCGGAATCCTTATAGGATTTTCAACCGACACTTGTCTAGATCGCCGCGAAAACACCGCGATACGAATTCTCCTCGCGCCTAATGTTCGCACTAGGAACTTCCATAGGATACTCTGTCTATCTATTTTCGTTCCCAAATGAACCGAAAACGTGCACACACTCGCGGGACCCGGTAAAGTTTCAACGCGGAAGATAACGCGCGTCGGGAACGCTTACGCGGAAAACTTTTCCCGTAACCGTGTCACGGGAAAGTTTCGAGTGGATCGTTGCGACGGGTAGGAGGAACTGGATTCGATGCACTTTTCGACCCGCCTCTGTTTCGATCTGTGCCTGGTAACTGGACACCTGACCACTTCGAATCGGGTTCGATCGATTCGACACTTCCAAAGAGGAGAAGCACCTTTGTTTCACGTAAAAATAGTGAAACGCTGCGAGGAAATTGGCGGAGACCGAAGGTGAACTGCTCCGGGGATGATCGCGTTACGTTTGAAGGGGACTCGCGTCACGTTCAAACACTATAGCAGGCAATTATTCACCCCTCGTTTGTCGCGGTTTTGTTCTCGGTGTGTTAACACACCGAAAGTTCGATGCTCTTGGAGTAACTCGATCGGAAGTGTCACTCGCGGAAAAGAGTGGGAAGCTTCTGCTCGCGGACAGGTCTCTTTCAGGACCTAATTCAACCGAACCGTAGAACAGTGCATTTTCGAGAACAATTTCAACGTAGTTTCACCTGACTTCTCCCCATAAAACATCTCGTTCCTGGTTTTTACGAGAAACTTAATTACACACTTGATATTAATCACACTACGTTCACACGACGACTGCTGGAGTATCGGGGAACATTCCTGTGACGATGAACTGGTAGTTCCTCCTGACTTCCATTCAACAACAATTTTCACCAGAAGTTTCAAATTTTTTTTAAGAAAAATTTCGCGTCTGTATACGCGACATTGTATATAGGGCGACGCGAACACGCACCACGTCTTGATTCGGTGGCAGATTTACCCTGACTGGGGAGATTCTTGGCCGTGGGAGCATGCGCGCTTCCGATCCACCTCCTGTGATGGTGGAAACGCGCAGAGGGTCCACGAACAGGGTCCGCGCACACGTAAAGTCCTGTCGACACAACCATGAGAGCCGGGCACATGTATATCGCCACGGACGTGCACCCACTGGTACACCGACACGCGGCTGGGTCAGCGTAGGTGTAGTCCTAAGGGTAGCCCGCCTCGGTCACGACGACGTACGGCACTCTGTGTCACGGGCAGAAAGTGTAGCAGCCCGTGCGAGGAGTACGGAATCGGGCTACGAAATCTACGATACCCTTTTAGAGGGGCGGACGATGAGATTCGTCCGCGTGTCCATTGCTCTTTATCGTTCATCTACCGATCACCGTTGTTACAGATAATAATAATATCATCTTATTACCTGATCGTAAAATAGTACACGGAGATGACAATGAAAGTTGATATCTAGCCTAAAGCTACTACGTATGAGATCTGACGTAGACTGTCTGATTGTGCAGATAAACCGGCTAGCGAAATCATAAATATTATGATATAATGAAACCCTTACGAAATGTTTTCCATCGAGTTAATTATTAAAAACAAAGAAGAATTCCAAAGTTAGGTATCATTTTCAGGTAAGCAACACATCGCTCCTTTCCAGACTAGTGATTTTCAACGCGATATAATGAAACCCTTATGAAATGTTTTCCATGGAATTAATTATTAAAAAAAAAAAAAAAAGAATTGCAAGGCCTCAAAGGCGGTCTAACTCTTTAATTCCAATACCGTAACAAATTCTTCATCCTGCCATGAACTAGTCCAAGACGCATCCTGGTCACTTTCACCACCCTTCCTTTCCGGGTTTTCCCCACGTTTCCCTAGTTTTGCAGACCTCACTTTCTCCATCCACCAGCTTGTCTCAAGGTCCAATCACATATCCGCTATTTTCATTCTTCCTCTCCGCTTTCTCCACACCATCGACATCATTACACATTTTTCTTTTGTTTGCACCCGTGCAGCGACTAAGATGAAACGCATTAATACGCAAAAATCTCATCCAGTGCTGTACACACTTCGGACAAAACCGAAAGCTTCACACAATAAACGAGCACATTTACGAATGGGGAATAGAAGAAACGGAGACAATAGCACGGTAACGGAGGATATGCTAGGTTAACTTCACTGCGTGCCGCTTTCCTTCCCTCCGATCGCCATGAACGCCGCGGAAATAGCCACCGTCGCCACAGCCAACTCCACTTGCCACCCAACGATATGGTAATTCGCTTTGTGCATGATAATACTACAGTAATAAGGAAGCTGGCGTAATTGCGGGGTCTGGCTTTATCAGAACGCTATAGTGACGAGTGTGACACTTTTCTCCCATGACTTGCGGGAAAAAGTTGGGTAAGGGTAGATTTTCAGCGATAGTTGGATGAAATAGGGAACGGGGTAAGTGGTTCATTTTAAACTACGTGGAAAGTTACCGCGGGTACCCCTGGGTCGTGGTCCCCGGCGAACCTAGAATCGATTAAAAAACTTCCACTATTGCTATTCATAAAATTGTTCATTTTATCACTGGTATAATTCGACGTGTACCGTTGAAACGGCTCGAATTCCCGGCGATCTCGAGCAACACTCGCAATATTCGCCCATCATTCAACGTGTTAAAGCGTTTTTAACGAACCTGCTTTAAACTTTCCGCCACCGAGAGAGATTGATTGCTTCCAGCGGCAAGAACGTCGAACGCCATGCTCCTTTCTACAGCCACTTACGCACTCGACTCGCTTGAGGAAGCTTTAAAAGCAGCACTATGCCATCTGAAACTCTTCTTTTCAACGTTACGCGGTGAACACAGGGGGGTTTTTGTTTTTCCTCGTATAAATCTGTTGCGACGATCGGCCGAGCACGCTATTAATGCACGCTGTTAGATGAACCACACGAGAGCGGACACGCGAGCACGTTAGGTTGGGTTATGCACGCGACACTGTCGGTTATTAGCCGTACTCGATCATCTATCGCCTGTAAGAATAATTTCACGGGGTTGCGTTTATATACATACGTAGACACTCGGCCACACGTTTGCCGATCCGATCGCCGCGTGTTTGTCGCCCACGATCGTAAGATCGATGAATAAATTAAAATGTGTCGGTCACGCACGGAACGGTACTTCATCGATAGAGTGTTCTAGAAAATGTGTTAGGTGCTCGAAGAATTCTCTTTTAAATTATTTTCAGGGTTGACGTTGAAACGCTTCTCGTATTCAAAAAACTTGATTTTTTTATAAACCTTTTTCGAAATATAACACGTTTAAGATGTATTGCTGAAATTCTACGCGTGAAATTGAGGAAATGACAAAGTTGTAACGATTTCAAGAAATGCTAAGTGTAGGAAAATTTTAAAGGCGTTTTTTTCGAAACTGTGTTTTGCAAAATGGCCGCCACGATTTCTCAGTAATAAATCAACTAATCTCTCCGAAATTTCGCATACGTGTAAAATAGATCTCCCTTTATCGTCTGTACCAGAATTCTTCCGTGATAAGAACGATATTACACGGCTGCCATTTTGACGAAATGCAGTTTTTTCCCTTTCTTCCAGTAGAGACGATAGCAACGTTCATATGAATCAGGATTATCTTTGAAATTTTTTGTTTCAATTGATTGCAACAACGTAAATCGTGGCAGCCATTCAGAATGGCACTGTGCGGAAAATATGTAGTAACTTGAATAATAGTTAATATAAAAAAATTTCAAGTTTCTTGGTTCGTAATTATCTAACAATCTTCTATCCTAACAATCGCCTAAAAATGACGTCTCCAAATGGGAACAGCCTCTCAACGCGACGAATGAAACGCGATAGGACTATTAACGGCTGACGAGTTGAAAAATCTGCTCGTAACGTTCATATTCAGCGCGTCACGTGCGATCATCAGATACCTGTACCATTAGACACGTTCGCAAGATCGTCGGACAATAAAGCTACGTTTATGTATGCACGCGAAATATGTAAAGAAGGTGTGTGTAATATTTTGACGACACCGGTGGAGAGAAACAAATGACGTTAGGACGTCATAGTGTACGCGGTCGCGCGCGGTCTCACGTTACGTGCACCTCAAGCTTAACAACTATCCGGGAAAGTTTGATGAAATCTACTTTATAACTCGCCCTTTGTGAAATATTTGCAGGGAAATTTCGCGCACGTGGGACACTGATATAATAACTTGTGCTTTTCAAGCAATGAATACACGTTCCTCGTTCGTGCAGCCCTCGAGCTACCACGTTAAGGCGCGAGAATTATGAGCCGATGTCGGTGTAACTCATTCGGATGGATAGCAAATTCCTAAATCATTCTCGACGAGGAAAAACGTTGACTGGAATTTCAACGTGCACGCTGTTTTCTTCGCCAGGAATCTTTCGATCTGATCTCCACGCGTTCATGTACTCGATGAATTAACCAAATCAACCGAGATTGCTGGTATACCGTGGTGTCTTTGTATAGTCGATGGAAGAAATATAGCGTGATCATGAAATTGGTCGGGTGTAGAAGTTTACACGTTCGATATAAGCGTATCGGCGAAAACCTGAGAAGATAAGGGCTAGAAGTTAGGGCCGCGGAAGAACAAGGGTGGATTGAAAGGTTTGTGATCTAAGAACGAAAGACTGCTTTTACTGTACAATACGTGTTCACTTGTGTACTTCGACAATTAGCGGAGGAGAGACATTTGCAACGGTGAAGTAGAGATGGGCAAAAGTGGAAAACGTACAGTGATTCAATACCATCCAATATTTTATCCAACGTTTCTCCGTAATTGTAAGCACCTCTGCTTCACCAGCTGTGCAAGAGAAGAAAAAAGTGAGTACACAAATGATCACACATTATACAGTAAAAATTACGAG